ATATATATATATATATACTCTACATATATGTATACGAAATATATATTATATGCATACTTGAGACACGTGGAAACCACAGCAACGAGATGATCCATTCTTTCGTAATGAAATCAAGTCAATAATGATTACTACAGCATACTCGATAATTCATATAATTATTACACACACGCTTCCATTCCATCGGTTTTCTTTCCGTTACTTTGCAAAAGCAAGAAATGTGTAACAGTTTCCAAGATTCGCCGAACGAAACAGGAAACACGGCAGGAATCATCTCCTCTGCCCCAACACTTGCCCCTTAGATCCTTTTATTGATATTATATCGTTAATTAATTAACCCCAGAACGCGAACTTGTAACCGTTATCAGGGACGGATCGAGTCAAAGATTGATCAGCTTCTCAAAAACACACTCTTTTTCAACGCCTTCAGTCACTAACAGATCCTTCTGTTTCTCTCTTCTCTTTCTCTCTCTCTCTCTCTTCGAAGATTTCTTCTCGGCCAAATTCTTCCTTCCCAGAAAAAGATCCAAGAGAGAACAGCGCTAAGTGATTCCCGAACTTGGACTCCACGCTCGAACATTTCTGAAGCTTGACGTTTGAGGATTAATTAATTAATTGCGTACTCAAGTAAAAGGGCAAATCACATTTGCATGATATCACTCGCACGTTTTTTTCTGTAAATCCTGCAAACAAAGAGGATTCAAGACAGCAACTGCGACGCGGAAAGGCACCTACTTGCGAAGAGACATCGCTGAAGATAAATAATGAATTGTCAGAACGATCGACAATCCGTAGAAAAGGAAGAACAAGTATAAGAAAGAAGAGGTGAAAGAGAAGAACGTCTGAATTGTCGCGCTTTCTCGTGCGCCCGTCTTATACTTAAACGTTAATAGTTTTCGATTCTTAACGAGCTGCTGCTGCTGCTGCAGATTTACGATAGTTACTTGCTTTTTCTCCGTGGGCCGCAGAGCGATTCGGAAGTACCTCCGGAAACTTCGGATTGCTGGCAAGTTTCTTCTTAATAACGCGCCGATCCCAAAGCTCGCTGATATATTTCCCGAATTGTAGAATCAACGGAAACTAATCAAAGAGATATATAATTAGGAGATCCAAAACTGCAATGACCTAACGGAGCAAGTATTTTGGAATATCTGCGAAAAGATCCAAAGACCGAACTAATTCAAGGTCACTGGGATCTAAGAGAGAAGAAAAACAAAGAACCTGCAATCTGTCGTTCTAATTACAGAATCTAAAACCATCAAGAGATCTTTCGATACGTAATCTAAAGGATTAATAAAAAGTTTCTGAATCCAAAAGATCCATAGATCTTATAAATATAAATAAATCTAAAAATTCACTTGTGTACATATACGTATATGTATGTACATACATATATACGTATATATATATATGTATGTTCTACATATTTTTGGCAACACGTGTACATATATGTTTTACCAAGTCCAAAGTTAACACGGTACTTCCGCTTCTCTTTCTATAAAAGTGACTTCGCATCATGTTACAAATGTGGCACAGAATCGTCGGTATCGGGTCGGTGATGATCTTGAAAGCCGAGCGGTCGAGATTAACTCGGAACAGTACGGGACCAGTAGGTGTATTGCGAAGATCCAAAAGGAACCAAAAGAAAAAAAAAACGGAGAAAACTATTCACTCGAAAGGCGTACTGACTGTTCAAGTGTCCTTCAGTCTTCGTATCTCACAAGTAACTAAACGCGACTGTACGATTCCAAGCTTGACGTAGCTTTTTATAAGGCCACAACAGGGTCGCCCTTCTGTATTACAGGAGCGGATAGAACTCGGAACCAGGCTTAGTCATAGTCAATTCCAAACTCAAGATACGAAGACGGGACCTCGGGCTTTCGCGTCGTTCGGGAAGAAATTCACAGAAAAAAAAAAAAAAAAAAAAAAAAAAAAAAAAANTCCCTCCGCCTCGCGCGCGAGGAACATGGCAGTACAACTACACGAGGAATCCAGCCTGATCGAAGCAACTGGGATTGATGTAACTCAGAAGGTCGTGATCCGACATGGAGGTGAGCTCTTGAGGCAGCATCCCGTCCTCCGGCTTCCTGCCGGCCGCGCTGTTCGCCGCGGGATTGGCAATCGGAGCGTTCACAGCCTGACGATTCGGAGTGACCGGGAGCGTAACCGGCGGCGACTTGTTCGCCACCTGCTCGACGATATTGCTCTGCGCCGAGGGCGATTTCGGCAGGATACCCTCCATCGCGCTGTTCATCAGCTGCGCGCTCTGAGTCGCTACGGTGTTCAGGATCTTCTTCGTGGCGATGATCGCGTGGGCGGTGGTGGTGCTGATCGGCCGGTTGTTGATGATATCTTTCGTGGCGTTGGTGATGACGTTGTTGATGGCTTGCTCGGCCGCGTTGGCCAGACGCTGCTGAAACGGCTCCTGGGCGGCGCCGCTGGCCAACGCGGAGCTCGCCTCAGCTACAAAGCCGGCCGGCTGATTCAACATGGAGCCGATGTCTTGCTGAACCGCCTGCTGCATGGCTTGAGCCGCCTGAGCCTGCTGGACCGCCTGTTGCACCGCCTGAACCTGCGATGGTTTCGTTTGAACGTCAGTCATGAATTCGATTCAATGAAACGTGTCGATCATTCGAATAATAATGATCTGGTAACCGGTCTTAGCAATGAATAAGTAATCACTTGTAAACGACTCTTGACTTTCCAAATATTAGAATTCTATTGTGTGTAGAGAAGAACATTTGATTTCATTTAGAACACACCACAGAAAGCGTCTTGTAGAAATCAAGCCTAAAACCTTGGAGTCTTCCGTAAGACTACGCATTGGAGATCAATGTTGAATTGAAATTTAGCCAATCGGCACAAAGTTCACTAAACTTCACCGAACTCAAGTCTAATAAGTTCCGCTCTTTGCCTAATTTCACATGAATTTCCAAAATGAGCAGCCCGACAGCCACACTCGGGTCTTGGTAAGTTTTCAATTTGTAATTGAATACAAATTGTAAATGTAGCGACATTTGAAACATGCGCGAGAAACTTGGGGAATTCCGGCGACTTATTTCCAAGAGAAAATCGCTGACCTGTTGCACGACTTCTTGCGTCGCTTGCTGCACCGCCTGCTGCACCACTTCCTGGCTGGCCTGCTGCACCGCTTGCTGCACAGCCGGCACCGCTTGCACCTGCTGCACCGCCTGCACCTGCTGCACCGCCTGCTGCACCACCTGAGCGTGCTGCACCACTTGCTGCACCACTTGTTGCTGCGCCTGCTGTACCGCCTGTACCGCTTGCTGCTGCGCCTGCGCGACGACTTGCTCGACCTGTTGCTGCGCCTGCGCCACTACTTGTTCTACCTGCTGCACCTGCTGCTGCATCACGACCACGTCCTGCTGCGTGAGCGCCTGGATCTGCTGCTGCATGTGCTGCTCCGCCGTGACCGCCGGTATCGCGTCACCGGCGACCTGGAAAGGGACGGACTGCAAAGTATTTTATTGATATGATTCCAACTTCATCGTCCGAATATCCTAACTGCTCTCATTCTCCCTTCAGCGTCCGCACTGAGACCGCCGAATACATAACGTTTGTTTCTTTCCTTCCTAAACCAGATCGCACTTTTCTTCGAGTACACGTTTACATGCAACTTAGCGCGTTAGGAGGAGAAAGGAACAAAGTTCCGGTGCAGACACCTGGCTCAGGAAGAGAAGACTGATCTTTAAGCGACATTTACCGTAGAACCCGACGTGGCGGCTGCTGCGGTGACCTGGGCTTCCGGCAACGACGGTAACAGCGCCGCGTTAATGGTGGTCAGCAAGCTGTCTCCCGTTTGCTCCACCGTTGTCGCGGACGACGGCACCGACGTCGCACCCGCTGCCAACGGCTGCAGCGCCTCCAGCAGCATTGTCTTCACCGGGATCGGCGGACTGGTCCTGGTCTGCTGGCCGCCGCCGATCGCCGCTTCGTGCTCCGACGTCACGTGACTCAACATCGCTGTAGGGTTGGGGTTCACCGAGCGCAACGGCGAGACCATCTGTTCCGCGGCAGGGTTCACCAGGGCGTCCAACTTCACTGAAGTTTGCCCTGAGGACGGTGGTAAATATACGTACTTGTGTTTCAAATTCATTCATATACAATACATTATAATTTCGTTTACAATTGCGACTGAAATGAATTTATCTGAAATTATCGTATTTTTCTATCACACGCGAGGTGATTTTCAAAAGGATGCGACAAGAGATTGATAAGCATCGTTTCATAAATTTCCCAGGGGAAGGGGAATATTTTCAAACGCACAACTTTTGAGATGATATAAATTACGAGTGATTCTCCGAGTAATATGCAAAATAGAACACTGTGGACGCGTACCTGCGGTGGTCAGGATCCCCGGAGGAGTCGTCTGCGGCTGGCCGCCTCCTGAGATGATGGAAGCTCGCTGCTGCTGAATGGCAAACTCGTTCTCCGGACTGGCGGGCTCGTCGTTCGCGCTCACCGACGATTCCATGTGATTCAGGTACTTCTCCACCACGTGACTGCTCGACGCGGACAAGGACTGCGACGTGGACGCGCCGGCGAAACTCGACAACGCGCCGAAGTCCGGCTGATGGTGGTGATGCTTCATGCGAAGGTCCACCACGCCGGCTCCCGGAAGAGCAGTCGCGCCGGGACTGTTCTCTGTTGGCAAGACGTCGTTTGTGTCTTTGAGACGATGGGGACTAAGAACTTGAGCCTGAGCCGACTCGTGTATTCCTATAATTAAATAAGCAATCGAAGGATGTTCATAGCCGAAGGAATTCGATAGAAAGTGGATGCAATTGAAATCTTAACTTCAAATTACTCGTTCTCATTCTCTTAAAATGACCGACCCTAGTTTGATTTATACAGGATGCCCCAGACCGACGTGGACAAACTTCGCGAGGGCGTAGAACGGATTGAGATGAACGAAAAAGTCTTCTACATCGGTTGAACGTTGAATCTCGAATCTGTCATCAGGTAGAACAGTCTGTCACATACTTGTAGATTAGACCGTTCTTAATAAAAAATTCCCTTACCATTTTGACAATAACATAAATTTTCGAGTTATTAGTCAAAGAAGCCTCTATACATGGCCGTTTTTAATCATTGATAACTCGATATTTAGCGGGTTATTCGCAAAATGGTACATGATTCTTTTGTTAACCTCAGTTAGTTTTATGCCCTCACGAAGTTTGCCCTGGACACACTCTGTATATATTCAATAAATATCTCCCCCCCCCCCTCTCTCACATTCAGATTTATTGGAACTGAACCCGATCCCAATGGATATTAAGTTACATCAAGTATTGACTCTTATTTCACTATCGACTTTTGTTTTATCGAATACCGATTAAAAAAAAAAAAAGAGAAAAAAATTAAAATACTGTGCCCACCTGCGAATGGAGTCGGATGGTGTGCGGACACCATCGACAAGGGATGCTGATTGCGTATCAGATCCACCACTCCGAGAAGACTCACTGCTTCTTGCACGGGACTGTTGTTGGCCGCGGCAGCGACGGTCCTGATGATATCAGCTTGCGAAGGCGCGGCTTCCCTGGAATTCTCGTTGACCAGCTGCTGGAGAGGAGAGGCGACCGACGTCGGGCCATTTGTGGCAGCCGTGGGCGTTGGCATGCTTTGCATACTGTTTTCGCTCAACATGCTGTTCTCGCTGTTCTCGTCCAGCACCTCGGTCTTCAGGTTGTCCGGCAGGATCAGCTGCAGATTCGTCGAGGACCGTCGGTTCAATAGAGGGTTCGCCACGAGTGACGGGGGTGGCATCATGACTTCGGGTGGAGAGTTCGGGTGGCAGTTAGAGGACTGTGAGGCGGCCCACATCATCACAGGTGTCACTTGGGACGTCGCCGCAGCCGGCGGTGAGCTGGGATCATTCTTCAGGGGCTCCGAAGTGGCTTGCTGCGGCGGGGTCTGAAGGCTCGTCAGGAAACCCGCCGGGCCTGCAGCTGCTTGCGGTATCAGAGCTGGGGAAACGTTCTCTAATTAATTTCGAGGTAACGTCTAAGCTCTTAACACGTTCAGACACAACGAAAGTAAAGATACGGGTTTAAACCGGAAATTCCCGGAGATCCCAAAAAGATGGAAGAATGTAACGTCCTCAGACAGCGATTCAACTGGATTATCATCGGCATTTAAATTGAAGGATCTGGAGTCTGATGCATTCTTATTAAGCAACATCGTAACACGTCGCCACCGCCGGCGTAACTTGTCGAGATGTTCATTGATTCGCACGAATTGAACTTACTGTTCGATGCTACACCCGTGGTGAGCGGCACCGTGGCGGAGGAGTTCGTCAGGTTGGCTTCACCGTTCGTGAGCGGGGGCGAGAGGCACTCGACCTTACCCATAGTCGGCTCCGGCGGGGTGGAAGCGGCGGTGTAGAGGAAATTATGCGGTTCACTGGTCTTCCCGGAGGACATTACGTACAGCTTGACGCTGACCGTCTCCGTGGATGCCAGATCCTGCCTGCGGTAGGCCGGCACTACGCACACCAAGTGCGTTTGCTGCAGGAACTCCTTGTCCGGCAGCACAGCGCATTCCCAGTGCGGCTCCAAGCTACTCGACAGGTCGTCGTTATCCAGCTGAAAGACCACCCTAGTGTCCTTGAGGAAGTTCTTGCCCAGAATGAAGAGCTCCAGCCCGCCTGTGCACGGGCAGGACGTCAGAGATTTCTTGCAGATCTCCGGGATCCCCGGTGGTTGAGCTGTGCATCGTGAATAAAGTTCCATGAGTATAGTTTATCTCGGTTTAAATCCACGCTTGCAATCTAGTCTATGGACCATTGTTACCGACGGTTGCTTCGTGTTTACAAAGGACGTCCCGAGCAACTTACTGCAGACTATCGGCTGCGAGCAGATTTGCAGGGTCTCCGTCGTACCATCGGCATGCGTGATCGTCGTGCGGAAGATCATGCGGCACCGCGTCGACTTTTTCTTGCTTCTACCCTGAAGCACCCCGGCTTCCTGCGGGAACCTGTGCTCCACGTCGACGTTGCGCTCCTTCAGTATGCCCACGCAGTCGCAGGTCACCATCATCTCCTTCGCCGGGTCCATCTCGACCTCGATCACGATCGTCCCGTCGATCTTACGTTCCATGCAAGGCGTCGAATTCTTCCCGCTGACCCGGCACGCCTGGTAGAACATATGGGGCGCCACCCGGCCCAGATCGGTACCGATGAACACCTGCAAGCTCGTCGGCTTGTCGTAGCCAACCAGCCGGACGATCGGGAAGCCATTCCCGGTGCGGTCCTTCACCGCCCCGCGCGACCCTTCCGTCTGGTAGCGGGCGCGGTGTTGTTGTTCAGGTTGGCAGATGATTTGCAATTGAGTCTTGCCGTCGGCAGAAGTATTTGCTGGCGATCGGAAAGGGAAAGAAGGTGAGCAATGTTGGACCGGTATCTAATCTCTGAGTTTTTTCGGGGGGGGGGGACTTATATTTACGGAGTAACTTATAGGTGAAAATTTACGAGGGTGCTTTACATGTATATGTGTATTTGGGCGGGTGTGCGTGTGTACGTGTGGACTTGGATTGACGAATTTTTGGATAATAGAATGTTTACCATTGGATTATTGGAGAAGAGCCAAGTGGGGACAGATGTATCGCGTTTGGAGCTAATCCAATAGTAAAGCAGACACTTGACAAATTACCGAGAATTCGTGACTATTTGGAGATCTAGAAGAGAAAGGTTGCCGAGCCATCGGAGAGACTAGAAGCCTTGGGTACGTTGAATTTCAAATGTTCCGTTTTAGAGACTTGGCAAGCCAGGGGGAGACGCTTTAAAGAAGTCGTTTGAAGATTTACATTGTGGAAGATCAGGGGCTCGAAAAATGTCAATTGTTTCGTTTTTGATATCTAGTCTCGAGGATTTCGTATTATCTGACTTTTAGACTCGTAAGCTGCGAGCGATTTCAAATTCATGCTGGCCTGCGACTTCTTATTGCGTTTCTTCCGACCGTCCTTGATTGTTACCGAAGAGGACGCAAAACGGATTGAAACGGTTCAGCTAAAGCTTTATTAAAATCCCATGTGATTACACGTTTGGATTCCCTTTGCTTTCTTTGCGTTTCGAGATTCGCGCTTAGACTCTTAGATGCTCTTTCTCTCTTACTTTCATGATTATGTATTAGAGGGCCCTTCGCTTGATTTAATTTCATTTAATTTCCAGTTTCGGAGACACGATTTCCGAAAGTTGAAAGTTCCGGGAATTTATAGCTCCGGCAATTGGAAATTTAAAAGCTCCGAATATTTCAAGCTTCGAACGTCCGAGATTCTAAAGTGAACCAACTCGTTTAATCATTGACGAGTCCATATCGCGAGCGAATCTGATCCATTGTCAGGCAATTCATCGCGAAATGTTCGTATAAGCGAACCGTACAACGCACTAGTTTCACCCTAGTGATCAGAAGCAATTTATCACGAACAATTTTTCCGATTCAATCATCTACGATGTACCATGTTGTTTCATCATTCGCAGTTTATAAATACCCCGAGCGCAGCCATGTTCGTCTGACCCACATTTGGTATCAAAAAGCGAATTTCGCTGTTCTGCATTAATGCTGTCATTTTTCTTATCGCATCAGTGCGAGGAAGGAAGAAAGAGAGAGAGAGAGAGAGAGAGAGAGAGAGAGAGAGAGAGAGAGAGAGAGAGAGAGAGAGAGAGAGGGGGGGGGGGGGGGAAATTTATAAACAACACAATAACGCTAATTGCAGTTTATGATTTTAACGTCANCTTATCACCGGCGTTAAAGCCGACAAAATAAACAATATTTCGCCGGAAATAAATTCACCGACGAATTTGCTCTTGTTGCAAAACACCGAAGCGAACAATGCGGCTTCTGCAACTTCCACGCAGACGAGACCGTCTTCTGCCGGTCGCTACTTGCGCTTTCTGGCAAGACGAGAGAGCGTTTCCTCGCCTCGCGAGAGGTCGATTTTGCGCTTGACCAGGTGCAACAAGATTTACGGTGTCTTTTGTTAGCGTCACCTTGACGAGGCGACGAGGGGCGCGATATTTTGTGCGATCGCACCGGCCACAGCGCGACGGTATCAAGGATAAAACATCCACTCACATAGTTGCGAGGTGAGAGTGATAGGTCCCTGATGAGCGACCGGTGCCCTTTTGGCCAAGACGCCCATGGCGGGCCGAGGTCTCGTAACTCCTACGATTCTGCCCACGGAATTACCGGTCCCGTTTCCAGTCCTACCGCCGGATATGCCACCCAAGCCGATCCCGTTGACCGCGGTCCTGGTCGTCGTGGACTTGTTCTCAGGACTAGCACCGTGGCCCACTTCCGAAAACGGGAAGTTCGCATCCTCGGATTCCAGCTTAATGTCCATCTTCCGCCTCTTTGAATCCTCCTCGCCGGCTCCGTTCCAAGGCTGATGAAGCAATCACAGAATTGATCAATTCACGAGATACACAAGGTGTCCCGTCAGATATTGATCGGGAGAAACTGTCAAATTGGCTACCGATCGAAGGATCGACAAATGAGAAGAGCCGTTGACAGCTAAGACAGACTCTGTGTATCTATGATTGTACAGCATACGTGAAGTTAAATTCGTAAATTCAACTCAACGTAGACGATACACGAGATGTGGTTGAATGAAAATGTAACTGAATTGAAATTGTTCAATTAAAATCCTCGATATATTTAAACATTTCGCTAACGAGGCACGGATTAGAGTTCTAATAAATCAAAGATCTTCTTGAAATTGTTAAACCGAAAAACAAGCTTCCTATCACAGATTCGCATCTTTGTAACAGTTTAGATTAGATTAGATTAATCTCTAATCAGTTAACTGCCAGAGTACCTTCTTAGCGTGGTAAATAATTTTAAATATATATTTTTCTTACATACATATATATATATATATATTGAGATATAATTAGTATAAGTGGATATCTCAATAGCTTTGCCAGCAGATAGAAGAGACGAGAGCCTATTCTAAAAACACACAGGCGAGGGCCAAAAATATGATTAATTAAATTCCAAAAATCAATCACGAGCGATGACAAAGTCAGACTTATTGTGTCGTTAATATAGAAAATTCCATCTCCATGTATCGTGGGAAAGAGTTATGTCGAGTAATCGGTATAAACGGGACACCCCATATGCATGCACGTCTGTGTGCTTAATTTAACGAATCAGAGCTCGGCTGGGTTCAACTACCGTTCGAGCGGTCGGCGATCTCCGATGATGATATTGATGACGATCACGCGTACCCTCGTGGACGCGTTAAATAACTTCATGTGGCTTCTAGTCGCGCCTCTAACGACAGGGTGACTCAAGGCTGTAATCATAGCAAGAGTAGGCAAGGGACTAGGGCCCCCACGAGGGGCCCCCCGTCGACTCTTCCTCTTTCTTCGTCCTCTTTCCACTTTTCAGCAAGAGAAAAGTCAGAGACAGGAAACATGCCGGAAGTAGACGTTTATGTATGTATGCGTGTAAGCGGATAAAAACGTAACGAATGACCGATATCAGCATCTGATAATCACACACACGTCAATTTCATTCTTCGATATTCGACCGTTGATATCTGGACGTTTGATTTCGGGAAATTTCATGAATTATTCGTGGGAATATCTCCGAGGGCTCTCGTCATTCGTAATTCTTCCGTAAGTTTTCCGAGAGATCTCAAAACAAGCTTACGCACCCCTGAAAACCGAAATACTTTATAATCCGTCCTAATAAAGAGTACCCTCCGTTTAAATTTTCCGTTTTCTTCCACAACCGATCCTGATTCTGAATCATCTCATAGCAGTCCCTGGCAAAATTCTACAAGTCTCTCCTTCTACCGGTAGATACTGATATTATATATAGCATATATCAGTTTTCAAAGGAAAACAAAAAAAAAGGGAGGGGGAACGTTCGAGTTACGAGTTAAGTATTAGAATATCGTAGAAAATTCAGGAGGCAAAGAGGCCGAGTATTAAAATTGCAACGAGCGAACGTTAAAGCCGACAATGTTAATTGAAGCGTTCGGCCGAGGTGAGCGCGGTGTTATCGTTTGTCATTAGGAGAGAATACTAACGTTGGTGTTGCTGAAGTGCTGTTGACGCTCCTCGAAACCGAGGCCGGAGTCGTTCGAGTTGTCGCAGACGTCTTGCGTTGCGCCGCTTCTGGGCCCGTGGTCATCCGAGTTCCTCACGGTGACGCCGTTGAATGTAGACAGGGATGTTCTAGGTTGCTGTTGCGGTTGTTGCTGCTGTTGTTGCCGTTGCTGATGGCCGACCACTCTTCTGGTCGCAGAATGAGCGCGATTACTTGCGGATGCGGTGCTCCTCGAGACGGACGATGCTGTCACCGTTGACGACGTGCCGCCTGCGTTGCTACCTGCAAGTCAGAGAGGTGCGCTCCGGTTATCACGCGGTGATCGACGTTCATTTTGCTACCGGCGCCGACAGATCAAGGGGAATAATTAATTAATTAGCATGCGCGAACGCGGACAGATAAATGAGTGTGTGTGTGTTCAAATGTGGACAGATAAATAGACGAATTCCCACGAGACGCCCCTAACTGAAGTAGCTCCTCCTTCGCGAGTTTCGGTGATTTGTCATTATTGTTGAGCTCTCTGCGAACTGTCAAGCAACTCGAGTTGCCGACTGTCAGTTCTGGGTCAAAACTGTTAGACCTTCGTGTATCATCGGATCATCGAAGGCCCTTGAGGATCCCAAACGGTCAGCAGTTTTATGCGAGGAAAACCGACGGTCGCGGCCTTTCCCTCTCGAATTCCCACCTCACACCGTCGGTTTCTCACCAGTCACCGGGTCCTCCTCGCACAGGAAAATATTCCCGGATGCCGCTAAAGCGATCCGCCTCTTCCAAGAGCATACTTAGCTCGCATTCGAAGATATCCTTCACCCTCGGATGCCGAATCGCCGCGACGAAGTGATATACTGCGATCAACAATACTGCTGTGCGATCAGAACGGGACTGTGCATTTCTTTGGGTCACGAGAAGGAGAAGTTTCTTCCACGAAGAACTCTCTCTGCTTGTTTTCAATAAAGCCGAACTCCGACACGAGCCATGAACCATTCGAGCCAGCATTGATAGACCAGTTCGCGATTTATGCATGCGAGCATGAAGAGCCGGCGTGTGCATCTCTCTCTCTCTCTCTCTCTCTCTCTCTCTCTCTCTCTTGTCGGGGCACGATAAAGGGGGGAAAAATACGAAACACGCGAGAAAGAGAGAGAGTCGGCGAAAGAGAGACAAAAGGACAGAGACATGACGATGACGACGACTACGACGACTACAAGCGGGGGATGAGAAGGGAGGAGGAGGGGCGGCGGAGCAATGTCGGACGATCTAACTATAGACCACCTCGGCTACTGGACGGGATAATTGCGTGGGGGTGAAGTTGCAATCGCGGACGCAACTGGTGGCGAGGGGGTTCGATTCCCCACCCTCACCTCCTGCACCTCCCCCTCCGCCGTCGCCCTTTCCGTCCGCCCATCCCCGCGCAACACGCAGGGGGTGGGCACGTAATCGACGCATGCACACACGTGCATAAGGTGCATCTGTGTGAACGTCGAGGAAAATCACGGGACGATGTCAACGACCCAACACGCGGCTGTCGGGGTTTTCAATCCCCATCTTTCTCGCTTTCCTCCACTTTTCCTTCTCTCGCCGCGCGGTTACTGCGTTGTTACGCCGATTGTTATGTCATGGCTCTCTCAGCAGGTGGCAACTTCGTTATTCTATTTCTTTACCCTTTTTTTCGAAGGGGAGGGGGAAAGAGGGTAGGGAGGAAAGGCAATCAATCGCAGAATTCTTTAGGGGGAGCAATCAGTCATAGAAATCGCCGAGTCAATTGCACGCGATCTCTCCGCTCATCCCAAATTAGAGCGATCCGGAATTCACGAAGTCGATTTTTCGAGAACGTCCGTGCAAAAATAGAGAGGGAGGAAGAGAGTGACTTTCACGAATCCCCGATGCGGGGTCCACCCGGAAGTCCCGTTCGCCTTCGCACCCCTGGAAGCCGACAACACGAACGTTTGCGCGACAGACACATCTCGGACGTCTCGGAGACGATCGGCGGAGGTCGCGATAGCGGCACAATCGCGAGCGCAACGCTATAAAGATAATAATTGCGAGCGTCTCGATGCGCGCGGTCCGCCGATGCGAGGGTTTTAATTGCCCTGGCAATCTCGCCAGTCGATAAATAAACGCGACGGAACGCGTTCGTTCTGTACACCTGCGCCGGAGGTGAATGTAACTCTTTATCGTCGCGTGGAAGGGTACCGCCAAGACGAATTAGGGCTCTCTGTGGTATTTGCGTCTTCCAGTCGCGTCCTCGGGAAAGAAAAAGAAAAAAAGAGACTGAGAGTGAGAGAAAGGGAGAGAGAGTGGGGAGGGAGGGAGAGAAAGAGAGACCGAGAGAGAAAGAGTGTACCCTCGATAACAAGATCGATAAACATCGTTACTATTACACCGCAAACAGAACGCGAGCGCGCTAACTACGACGCCTCTCCTCTCGAGTCTCAAGGAAATATCGTTACCAGAACGAATGGACGGATAGTCGGATCGATCCGGTCGATCCTCGTAGGAGACCGGTACCATCCGCGAGCTTGTTCGCGGACGAGCTGATTCGCCGGTTATCGGCGTTGCCAATGGATTTCAGGGTTTTCCCCCGTCCCCCGATTGCAATGTTGCGAATGTACGGGGAACATCGTGGCTTTCGCAGTAGGTAGTAGGAGGACTTGATAAGAAAGAGAGAGGGAGGAAAAAAAAGAGAGGAAGAAAAACGTTTATTACAGAGCTAGACTTCTAAGAACTTAAAATATATATGTGAATGATAAGCATATTGATGAATTTATATAATAATAGGAATAAAATAGTTATAAATCATAGCATAAATTAATCACAGAAGTAGGTTTAAGACAAAAAAAAACAATGAAAGAAAATTCAAAGTAAAAAATGATTAGAAAGATGAATCATTAGTCTGTTGGCACGCAGGTAAAGAATGAAAATAGCCAAAGGTTTGGAAAAAAAAAAAAAAGAGAGAGAGATGAAATGAGATGAAACGAAGAAGACGCAGAAAAGCAATCGTGGCGCAAAAAATACAAACAGAGTAATAGAACGCAGTGAGACGTGCGTATAATCAGGGTTGACACAGAAAATGAATTGTGAAATTCCCCGACTTTTCCAGACGACAGTGGAAGATTTTTCATGAGCAATATGTACCTCTAAATTTGAACGTTTAGAAGAAGCAGGGATTGCAGGAAAGATAGTTCATACTATTAGAAACAATATAAAAGTTTAATGACAACATAATCCTGAATGCAAATTCAAGTCAACCGAAAAGAAAAGTGGGTATATAAAAAAGGAATACAGTTAAAAGCATTTAAAGGAATCGTAAACAAAATTCACAATTCCAAATTTCTTTCGTATCTTTCCCTGACTTTTCCAGGTTTTCTACGATACTTTTTGATTTCCACGACTCATCCCGGGTTTCCAAATCTGTGACAACCCTAATAATGGTGTACAGAATTACCTAGAATTTAGCCACGTTAGAAAGATTTTGTTTATGTTCAAGTAAATCAACGAACAACCGGATAGCTAAGATTCCACGCTATGTCTGTAATATTGCGATCTTCCGCGTTAGGCGGTAAAGTTTCATGAGAGGCGGGTATAACTGGGATTCCCTGCTAAATACTACAAATGTTACGTGGCGACGTTCGAGCATTCCGTGCGTGATAAAGGCCGATGGGAGTTCTGAGGTAAACATTAGAGAGACACGTGAGAAATCACCCTGCGGTCCCATTGTTCGGGGATCTCAAGGACGTCGGATTTCATCGTTCTCATCGTTCCCGAAAATCCACGCTGGGATTTCGAGCACGACTCTATCCGCGGAATTCCACTTCTACGTGAGGTCTGCTCCTGGAGTCCAGCGAGTCAGGTGCGTGTTGGGACATTAAATCCCTGACCAGATATTCCGGGTTTCCTTGAGTTTCGACAGAACGAGTCTTTACGGCCGCGCAAGCTCGCTCGACGGCGGCTTGTGTACACTTAATGGCATCCCTGATAGCCTACTTAAGTAGTCGAGATAAGAAGCCCGAAGAGGCTCCGTAGCTCTCGGCGCGGTTTGGTAGCGGTGCCAGAAGATATGGAACGCAGATAGGCGTAGTACAATTTATTCGTGCTTTAGAATTTCGACAATCCCCGGAACGGTGCGTATAAATGAGTGAAAAGGGAAAACGAGTGGCGACGTTCAGTGAGAGAGCGACAACTCGGCGAGGAACTACGACGCGTCGACGCGCGTCGAGCACGGCACGGTTTAAAGGGAAAAATAGAGTCAGCTGTCAGCGCGCGCACACACAAACACACACACGCACGCACACATGCGCGAGAATTTAAATGAGGCTGGGGTACAGCCGAATTAATCGAATTAGAGCAAATGATTGATGGAGTGCGGCATACGAGAGTGAGAATGGTAGCGGAGTAATCGGGCTGAATTGAATAAGAACCGGTGTAACCTGAAATTCATGTTGCGTTACGTGATTAGTAACAACTAACGCGATGCTCGTCACTCTCGGACGGGACGAGAAAGAGGAGAGAGAACAAAGGAGCGCGCACGCGTGCGGTAAAAATTGTATTGATTACTGATGACAAATCGGAGCCATGATGGTGATTTATCGATAAGACCATCATGTACTTACCGTACTCGAACAAGACCCGATAACGAGACAGTGATTTCAGCGATAGGCGAGGGGAATGCGGTTAGTGAATACGCTCGCGCCGACCGTGACGGGGAACGAAAGAAAAAAACAAGAAAGAATGAAGAAAAAAAGAGAACGGAACGGAGATATTCGTGCGATAACAGAAGCGTTAACCGCTCGTCGATGGACGGGGTATCTGCGAACGTCGAAATTCCCGTCGATTAACAAGTCGTCACGCGAACGACTGTAACCTTGATATTGGTAATATCGTGATTCTTTGAATCGATGTTCGCGATGTCCCAAATACGGCTTTGTCGTTAGAGATGAAGACCGATACACGGAGTGGCTGATGTAGCAATGGTAAAAATGACGATCTCAAACGTGAGAAAACACAAACCACGCCAAATCAATTGTCTTCATCATCATAAACGGCAATTAAACCGACTTTCTCGCGTTAAGGCAAACTAATTCTCGGACAGATCAAGAAATCTCTAAGAAATCGTGCTCTAATTTTGCTCCTATTATTTTCTCATATTTCTCAATTATATAACAATTGTCGCCGAAACATTGAATACGAGTTACCGTAATAGCACAAATATTTAAATATGCAGTAATAATAATAAAATGATTATTAAGATGTTAAATGTACTGGAAATTGATTTGACAATTAAGTTACATTAAAAGCCCATTAAAGCGGCGGCTTGGAATCGAACGACGCACGAATTTGGACATCGAAATGCGTTCTCCTCTCGAGGAGATACGCGCGAAGATATCTATCATTGTCCTAATCAGTTAGTTGGCCACATTAACCAACTGTATCAATGTAAATATTAATTTATCGCACTTGCCGGCTCGCTGAAGGAGAATGAAACTTCAGTGAAATGAAATCATCGATGTTAATACAGCGCATCGAGAGAAGTCACGTCTCAAAAAGACCCCTCCCGTTCCGCTGATTTTGCATTTTACGACGCGATTGGAAGTAACATATGCGCGACTTTGCGTTACGCACACGGGAAAAAAATTTCGTTGAATTTATACGACAATGAACATAACAAACGCATTTTGATCGGAGGAAATAAAATTTCCGGCTCTTATGAATCAAATTACGATCTTATAACCAGAAATTCTCTTCCCTACGAGCAAAACGCATTCGATTTGTTCATTGTCGGGTAAATTCAACCAAATTTTTTTTTCCTCCGTACCTCTCTCATTTTGCAATTGCAACCATTTCCGAGTTTGACAATTAATACATTCTTCTCATATCTCCAATAATTCGATTCGATGCGTCTTCGGTGAGTAAATTCCTCGCCTCTCTCTCTCCCTCTCTCTCTTTCTCTACCTCGAATCATCAACGCGCGTTGTGTTTACGCTTCTCACATTTCGCGACTAGATTTTCGCGTGACAAATTTCGCCCTGATCGCGCAAACTCATTCGGCAAATCGGTCGCACATCGGGAATTAACGCGGGCCCGCGAACGATTGGCTCGAATGAGCATTTAGCCGCGCGCTAAACGAGAACGGACTCGAAAAACCAGTTCGTGCGGTGTGTGTGCGGCCTAATGGAATTTATCAATCCGCCGTCCAATTGAGTCAACTGTCACGCGTGCGTGTCTACGTGTATACGCATACGTCCCTCCGCGTGTTCGGCTCTTCGTTATGCTCGGCGAATTACAGGCGTTACTCAACTATGTATACAGCGCGCCGCGTTAACGAGCCGCGTATGCGCCCAATTCATATTTGCGCGCGACTTTAGCGACCGGCCAGACACGAGTATAGGCCAAACAGCGTTTTTTGCGTATCAATTCGAGGAGCCGCCGATATAGATCGCCTGCACCACCGCCACAGGTGGGCCGAGGGACGCGACGACGACGAAATCGAAGCCGAAAGGTGAAAGACATTTTCTTTCTTTCTCTCTCTCTCTCTCTCTCTCTCTCTCTGATACTGAACCGCGACGTTCTTGGATCTTTTGGGATTCTTTTGCGCATCATTGTTCCGCGCGTCCCTCCCGGCGCTTTATATCCTTTGATCCCCGAGATTGCGGAATTTCAAGCAGCTACAGAGAGCGATGTATTTTTCCCAATTCGAACACGTTCGCATGCTCTCTCAAATCTTCCGCGGATTCGTCCCCGATCGTCGTAGATCGACGGTCTCTCAGGGTCTCTCAGAGCCCCGGCTAATTTGGCTAATTTGGATCCGCAGCTCCTGCGAATCTGGAATCCTCAGCAAAAAACGGCGGTCTTTATATCCTCCTTCGCTCTTAATTTATTATACATACAATCGTCGAAACGGGTTTCCAATCTTTGCATAAATAATTTAACGCTTTTTTTGCATGACCCCTTTTTCATTAATTGCTCTTCGCCGCATGATTCGATTAGGTCCCAGCGGAATGTCACGCTTTCTATCGCAATCGCACCGGTGACGTCACCTCGCAGGAGCATTCGTAAACAATGACAGGAAAACAAATGGGACATTAATGTGAGCACATTAATATTCGTCTGGCTGGCGATGCACCTATGGTTTTGGGAAACGATCGCACCTTATCTCCCTGGCCTTCAATTGTCAAGTTTCACAAAGTCGTTCTTAAATCTGAACTTTTTCTCCCCATCTCTCGACTCGCAACGCATTTACGGAGTTCAACGGCACGCGACGGTGCCTCCCGAAATTTCAGTATATCAATTCACCCTCGCCACCCACCTGGGGTTTTCTGACCCCGCGCACTTAAAAACCGCGATATTTTCCCGTTTTTATTATTTTTCCCTTTCAATTGCCGGATATGTTTTTTTCATACTTCATACTGTTAGTTTTCAGCAATTTTCATTCTTAATCCTCGAACAACAAGATTGGCCGGATCCGGCCGAATCCATATTCTAATGCTTCCGCGAACCCACTTGTAAAGGGGTTATATTTCAAATATTTTACATATTTTGCAAGTTTCTTTTGTTTACTTTTAATTATTTTCTAACTTGTGAGAATAAAAAGTCGAAAAAATTCGTCGAAAGCACAACGAAATGCTTCTACGAGTGGAATCCAACCCATATAAACCTTATTATTCGAGAGTTAAATTGTTACAGGAATTTTTTATCGTGAAAAATATAAAGGTGAAGTCAATTTCGACCTTTGGTAAATTGTACACAATAATATATTTTTAATGTTTTAGTGTAGCTTTACAAGCATCAACCCGTCGTTTCGATGTAAAATCACGCATGATATAAGAAGTCACACTATCTAAAGAACATACCGAAATACTTAATTTGCGTTTCACGTGGTGCCACCTTAACATCCGAGAATAATTCCGAGCGGTTAGTTTCACAGCAATATTTATACTTCGTTACTTTCGACTTCAATAACAATAAAAATCCTTCACTTACACGTCTCCTCCTCCTTTCCTCAATATAAAACGAGTAGTTATTAAGATGGGGTCAAAAACGACCCCAGATCGGATATACGAAATCCTAGAGCAGATGGATGGCGAGGTATTGAACAAAGCGATATTCAGAATGAGTGAACGAACTTTGAAAGAGAGAATTGGCGATTTAATCGAGAGTCTCTTCACCCTCGCGTATCTTTCCACCCTGCCGGTCACCGAACTTCCGTCATTTTTGACGAAAGCCGTTCGAACGTTGTTCCCGACATCCGCGTCGACTGTTTACCGCGGATCGGGGCTCGTTCCTTATAATATCTTGTTCTCATATTTCATTGTGTCTCGGGCGCGTATCGGAAACCGCGAAGGTTATCTGGATCCGCGCGCGCGCCTGCCATCTTCTCGCCCACTAGCTCCGATACTAGCGCGCCGAGCGTTTTAAACAATAATAATACCGGCGGGAGATAGCACGGAAAAACATTCGTCGGAAGTCCATCGACCCCGCAAAAGCGCGCGCGCGCGCGCACGCCGCTTCATCTTTAAAACTCTCTGAATCGTCGCCGCCATATTGAATTACGATGTCGGAAGCTGCACACGTCATCTTTTCACGCACGTAACATCCGCGAATACAGAGAATCCGCTCGTACGATTGTCGATTTCGCCGGAGGGGAGGGAGGGAGGACCGAAAGCGGAGGAGCGAATTTCGCGGGACGGAAGCGCGCGACATCCAAATATTCTCGAGCGAGCTGAGTGAATCAACGCGCGTTCACGACTTCCGAGAGAAAGAGAGAGAGAGAGAGAAAGCGAGGAGAGCGAAAATATTTATCGCAAGAGTTAATCGCGCTTAATAACCTGCCGCGATACGAATACTTGGCAAATACGTCGTTCCGCAAATGTCAACATGCGCGCAAACGCGCAAGAGTACATACGGGAAGAGAAGCTGCATCGCAGCTGACTCCTCGTCAATGAAACCCGTCTCAGTCCGATGGAAGAAGACCCGGGGAATCTACGGATCGCCCGAGCCCTTCTACGAGACTAGCGGTAAAGTAGAAAGTCGAGAAACAAAGCGGTCTGTTCTTTACAGCTGAACTGGCTGCGCTAGTTGGGAAAATTTACATACACACTGAAAAGCGTATGAGCTGGATTCTCACGTTTCGGTGTGAGGAATTCCCTTCAACCAGTGCAGCCAATTCAGCTGCAAGGAACAGAGCAAAGGAATCAAGAGAGTTCTCGGAGGGCTCGCATTGACATTACCTTCAAGTCCCGTAATCCATCGTTTACGCGGGTACGTGTCCATATTTGCAAACGTGCGTTTGTTCCTTGCGTATGTCCCACGGGAGGGGGTTTTCTTACGCCTGAAATACTCGGATCAAGTGTCGAAAGCCGACCTTTTGGAAACCTGGTGAGCGGTTTACATCGTCAGACCGGGATCAATTAGCCAAAACCCTACGGGATCGGGCTGAACAACAGCCTTCGAAAGCGGCCATATCACGCCTTTCGTCCTATTGCGCCTGCGCGACACTCGGCGGACCCAATTCCTCTGAAAGGCCTACGCTAATTACCGTAACGATAGAGATCTGTCAACGTGCCTCCCGCGCATCTCAGCTGCAGAAGCATGCTCAGATGATCGTTGACATGTTCCAAGGTGCCGCTGCTACCTCTCCTGAGTTCCTGACGTCTCTTCTCGAGATCGGGTGCCATTAGAGCATCCCCTCGAGCGGAGGACTCGTGTCGACCCTTCCGTCGACCGCGTCGATTCACGACGAGCGAAGACAACGCCGGGCACAAATCACTGCCAGTCCCCCCACAAAAAGCGGAGCCGGCCCGTTCTCACTCCCGGCGAAGGATTCCCTCGCTCTCCAAATCGTCCCTTTTCGCGATATATCGGGATCCCGCGAGCCAGAGAAGAGGATCGTACCGATGCGCGCGGCACGTGACTCGCGTCCGACCGTCGCGTCGTATCACTCCTTCGGAACCGCCAAATCGTTCGAACGGCCGCACGCCAACCGACGATTCTCACACACCGAGTTCCCTCGGACCACTCCTTTTCGAAATATTCCCAAGGCCCAGCTTCTACCGGGCTCTTTTCTTCACTTTCAAGTCGCGATCAAGGGAGAAATCCTTTTATCGGTCTCTGCCACAGTCAGGTCTCAGGACTCTTAGTTCGTCGTCCAATGAGGGATATATCGACTCCCATATCGATCCGGCCCGGGTTCTCTATCACCAAATACGAGAATACCCGAACTTGTACGAAGATACCGGCTCGGGGGAGGGCGGGGAGGGAGAAACGGGGAAAAGAAAAGCGAGAGGTAAACACAAGACGCGATGGAAACGCGCGACGAACGTCGTATGAAGACTGCCGCCACGCCGTTGGCGCGAGATCGGCGTGACCCGAGGCGCCAAGCGTAAATAAGCCCCCACCCTCGCGCTGTGATGCGTCGGCATTGCTGCCGTCGTAGCGACGCGCTGACGAAGGTGACCAATCAACGGGCGCTAATTACACGAGTTATCGACGGAGGCGTTCGAATTTCACCGAATATCGACGAACTTCGTCCGACATTCCTAAGGGATGAATACCGTTTATCCCCAACCTGCGTGGACACCTTCAACGGAGAACGGTAACTGAAGCTGAAGATTCTCTTACAGTTTTAGCTCGGGGAAAGATAGATTTTTTCCTATTTTTTTTTTCTGCGATTTCTCTCGCCTTGTTTTTGCAGAAAATTGGAAAAGAAACAGGATTGGATTAGTAATTTGCTAATTCGGTTAGAAGTTAAGTTAGTTGAAAAGTCAATCATTTGTAACTTAACTCGGTTCAATTTAAACGAGTTAACTTTTAACTTAAACTTACTTTTTACGTATGAACTTTAACTTATTTACTTGTTTTTTTTTAGTCAAGTTAAAATATTTCGTATATAGCTTTGCATGATTCCTTTTAATTTAATTTTTTTTTACTTTTTAATTTTTATCTTTAACAAAGCTAATTTCACTTTAACTTAACTCTTAATTGAGTTAGTATTTTCTTTATGTAACTTTTAACACAAATTTAGAGTTAATTTATAGCGATCAACTTTTTACTCGGTTAAAAAAAATTAACTTATTCAATCCTGGAAACACATTTTTTTTCGCCGATTCTTTCGGTTTTTCTCGCGAAAAAAAAAATGAAAAGTGGTTTCTCTTTATAACTATAGATTCTCCTGCTTCGTTCCAAGAATTACGCGCCTAAGACCCGGGATGTTTTTTAGGGCGGAATTTCAGCGCTCCGAGGTTGCGAGTGGCGAAGGGAGGACTTCTATCTCGCGGGGAAGAACGCTGCCGCGAAAGGCCTATCGCGAAATTCGATTAGCACGGATTGGCTTCGATCCACTTTCAAAATGACACCCGCTGGGAGACGGAAACGTCATCGTTTCTGGGACCATCGGGTGTGTACCGTTAGGAAAAAATAACAAAGCAAAGGAAGAGAGAGAAAAGCGATTGGACACGGACACGCGACATACCTTCTCGCTTAGCTCGGGCCCGTCACCGCAACGTGAGCGCCGATTTTGGCGCGGATCCGGTGCCACGGGCGCTCGCGAGCCGTGAGAGAATTTCGTTCCGTCACGACGATTAGGTAATCGCGGCGAGCGTGATCGATTAACGCGCGCGAGCGCCAGTAAGCGAGCGAGCGAACGAGCGAGCAAATGAGCGCGCGCGAACACGGCGCGTCACGATCTCCGGCGTCGATTGTGTGCGTGACGTCAAGGGCCGATTATAAGTTTACAATCCGCGGATCATTTATGACCCGCGTAGCGACTTAATGCGAGATGCGTTGCGATAGCGCAGTTATCAATCCGTTGGGTAATACATTCGAATTGCTATTTATACTACGTGGATCGGTAATTCCGCAGTTCTCAGCCGTCCGTAGAATCCTGGCGGTTGGTTCGGCGCGACGACACGCCGACAAACAGTACGCTCGGTCGCAAAAAGCAGCAACGCTTCAATCCCGACGAGAGTTCCGCGGCGCGCATCTCGCGTCTGACGGGAAAATGTGCCTCTTTTTTACATCCATCGATTTTTATACACCTCGATTTAATATCGCCGAGATAAATGATCGAAACGTAAATTCCCCTGTCGGTCCCGAAATTAATGAAAGACGAAAGCGTCGCGACAACTTTATGCGATTGACTATACACGACTATAATCAGCGAAAAGAACGCTGCGATACTTCTTCCTTTTTCTCGGCGAGTTTTTGCAACGCACGCACGATCAATAGGAAAATTTGTTTTCCTCTCATTATTCTCGGAAGATGGATTTTCTTATTGAACACCGGACACGCGCGCTCTGAAGCGCGTCGAGACAATGGCGCGGTAAGATTTCTTCCGCCGACTGTACGCCCGCAAGCAGAAAACTCCGGGCGCTTTCTTCCCGATGCGTTTTTCGAAACGCAGCACTGAATGCCTAATAGGTGGATTTGTTTTCGGCTAATCGCGGAAGATACATGTTCTTATTGGATGTCGCATGCGAAGTGCATTTCGAAGGAAAAGTCCTTTCTGTTACCGAGTGGCACGGTGTCGAGTGTGCTGAAAAACTGCGCGCACAAGCCTCGAGATATTGTCGACGGCACGAAAGTGAGAAAAAGTTCTGATAAACGGTCGATCTTGCTGAAGGAACTCTGTAAATAATGAACGACTTGAAAAGAAAGACGGGCGAAAAAAGGAAACTTTTACGACCGATGCAAAACAAAAGGTGATTAATGCCCGATTTCATCAACATCTAATTAACGATTAAATCTTAATCGGAATTTAAGCTTTTTTCATACAAAAACACTAAGGAGATTCCAGCGCCGTATTTTCAGTGGTGCATCAATTTATGAGGCCTCTCATAAATTTACTATTTACCAAGCGAAATTTCTTTCGTACACCATCAGTTTCATTGATCGAGTAATAAATGTTAATTTTGAAACGAAACCGAGATAAATATATATAATATATACGTAACATTACAAGTGCGAAAATATTATTATTTTTTTACTTTTTTTATTAATGTTATATTTATGCATTATTTGGACTAATAGAGATGCACAGATGACAGAAAGAAGTATATAGGTGTTTAAACGTATATTTACATGTATACGTATCTTGAGTATTATTATAAATTATAAACCTTGCACCACTGTATTTTCGGAATGAAACGGTCAATAATTCTGGAACTTGCTTATAATATTTGTATACATTAGTCTTGAATATTAGAATAAATTTTTTTAACTTCCATCTTGTACACTTATATATCAAATCCCATAAAATTTGGTGTTTTATGAAATTTCTATGTTTGCACACATATAAATTTATAATTAAATATCTCGGAAACGATATGGTAGAGATTATTGAAATTTCCGTTGCGTATTGTTAATTCGATTAACTTTTGTATCACGTATATATTGCAGATTTAAACTCATATTTGGTTAAACAACATAATATCAAATATCATTTTGTTCGAGCGAAAATGTTGTTCCACTAAAATAAATCGTGTTGTTTGATAGAGAAAATAGTATTATTCAGAGGAGATTTGATTTTTTGATTATTTGATCTTCGAAAGAGAAATTTATTTCGTTATATATTAAATATTGTTCCAATGAAACTGGAATCTCTTTGAACTCAGGTTAAAGTTTAATCGCCATTGGTGGAATAATCGGGCATAACACGTACACGAGGACTGAATAGTTTCCAGACTGCACTTGGGAGATACGTGGAGAGGTAGAAAAACAAACGAGGATCCCGATGACACGGTATATCGATCCGAAACAGCGGATATAGCATGAAAACTTTTCAATCGGTTCAATCGCGAAAATGTGGATCATCTCGCGCATATAATTCACGGCGATAACATTATATAGTAAAATAACTCCGGTCAGCTCGGCGTTTTCAAAAGCCTTACGTAACAACGAGAAAATGCATTTCGATTCCCGAGACTACGTGCGGTATTATCGCGTTTGAAATACCGACGTTCGATATCTAAACGGAATATCCAAAGGAAATAAACGGGAAATGAACTTTGACCGTACCTTTGTCCCAGTTAAATAAATTTTCCTTATCGTATGTCGAATGTATTCGGGTGAGATTTGAATCGCCCGTTGGATACCATGGAGCACACAGATAGATTGGGATTTCACCGTTCCAATTGGATTTCGGCATTTTCACACTGATTCGCACAGTCCGTTCGCGCCGTTCGATCGGTCGATCGATCGGTTCGCACCACCGACGGATCTACGTTCGTACCCGTTCCGAACTGATCGCCGGCGTTACTCGAACGAGTCTCGTTTCTTCTCGCGTATTTCCCTGCCCAACGACAATCGAATCAACTTTTCCGCGGAATACCCGTCATTCGCGTGGCACCGCAAATCCGAGACATGCGTAACGGCGCGAAGACTCACGAGCACTGCGCGCGCCGTGCGCCGCTTGTACGTAGATTTGTTATTATTTATCGTAATTGTTATCACGCGGAAATACGAGAGACACCGATCTAAAAAGCGCGAGCGAAAAATCATATATCGCCGGGGCGGCAATAGTGACGACGATCGAGAAGCGTTTATCGCATCAGCGCCATATTAGCGTCCACCCGTTGCGTGGAATCGACAGGATGTCGCGAAAAGAGGCGCGTGCGCCATCTGGATCCGATCAAGTCGAATTTGAGACGGGTTGTTCGCGAGTGTAGCGGGACTTTAATTGATATTTCGACTTGAAGGTTTTCGTCAACCGCTCCCCGCCTCGGAAGAAGAGACGTGAACGCTCGCCCCCCGGTCACTCCGTTGTCTCTCTCGCATCGTGAGTCAGCGAATGCAATATAATAAAGTCCAATGTGCAGAAACTGATCGCGCTCAACGGCACGCTTCCGTCGCTTTCTTCCTCTCTCATCGTCGACTTATATATCGGTTTTATGCACAAAATGTCTCTGCGAAGCCGGCACCCTCGAGAAATGCGAATTTTTCTGTCACACGGCACACGGTTTGTCCACAATTGTTCGTAAAAAAATAATTACGTCCATCTCGCGGAAGAAAGTTATAATCAAATAAAAATATCGGAAGAATTTTGACGTCACGTTTTTTTTTTTTTCAATAAACGGAACACGATTGTTCATGTTTGCTCGTCAAAAGTTTCTGTTTGTTCACGTGCAAAGGAGAATTATAAATAATGAAAACGAGCAATCGCCCTTCTGTACACCTCCGACTGTGTTTTCTTTAAATCACGCACTTGGAATCGATTGTTCACCACTGTCCGTCCATTAATTTTGCTTGTTCACCGAGCAAAGTGAGTTGTAAACAAACACGAGAAAAACAGACAATGACAATGTTATGAGCAATTGTTGCACCAGTTACTTGTGTTCGTTTGTTAACTTTACAGACTAATATATAACGTTTTCATTCAAACAAAATAACATATGATGATAAATTATATTGTTTATATTAAACAAACCCGAAATCAAGCAAATACGTGTACTAAATCCAAAAAAAGAAAAACTTTTCTGACTATGTACGCGTGATATCTTCAAGTTTAGCTTCTTTGCCACTTTTTACGTGAACTCAAGAACAAGTCTTCTTGGAAAGTGATTGAATTTACAAACATGCGCGTACATATATTTACACACACGTTCGTTAAGGAAAAGTACAGATTAGCTGCACCAGTAACCGATGAATATTTCAATTAACCGATGATGGATCAATTTGCGTAAGTAACTTGTGATATTCCAATAGTTATTAATGGATACCATCAGTTAATTCGAACATTTGTCACTTATTGATGCACCCAATCAGTTCTTTGTTAAGGGGTGTCGCAAAAATGTACGAATATTTATACGCAATCGACAAACACAGAACATACATATACATACGTATGATTTCTATCGTGCAATTACTCGTCACACATCACGTATACAAAGACAATTTGCACGTGTAGGTGCATTTACACGCAGGCTGTGCATGTACTCGCGAGTAAACGTAAGCCCACTCGTCCTGTTAGTCACGCCGGACGATTACCAGCCGTCTCAAGATGACGGTTAATATCGACATTTTGCGAAAAATCGATCGCAGACGTTCATCCAAACGCCGGATGTTTATCTCGCACATTCGACACGACACGTGTGAAAATTGATTCTTAATGAACGCCACGCGCGACAATATGAAAACAATGACGTTCGCCGACTCCCATTAGCGTTCCATTAACGAGCGGCACCGATGCTTCCGATACCGCGCGTAGGAAATGATATTTAAATAATTAAATGCTCATTTGAAACGTAAAAAAAACAAAAACAAAGAAAATCTCTAACATTCCCGGGAACGAGAAATCTAACGGGATCCCCGCATTTCGATGAGACCCGATGACACAATCGGGGTGTCGTAATCGGCTGGGGGGGGGGGGGGGGG